GGGTGGGGGGCAAGGGGCTGTCTCAAAACGTCGCGCGAGAGGACCGCCGGCTCTGCGAGCGAACCTTCCCGACTTAGCACGGACACGAACCGTCGAAGCTTCCAGAATGTTCTAGAAGGTTCTAGAATGTTCTAGAAGGTTCTCGATCGTGCGTAATTCCCGGAATCGAGCGCAAAATTCCCGGAAAGTGACGCAAAATTCCCGGAATCAAGCGAAAATTCTTGGAATCGAGGGGTCTTGGTGACGTCACTTCCGGAAATCGTAGAGCTCACGACGGCAACTTAGCACGGACACCCACCTTCGAAGGCTCTGGAGTGTCGGTATATGTCGGTTACAGGTCTCCTGGTCCAGAACCCCTCAACTTATACTACTGTTATTATTTCGCATCGAGTGTAATATTGCGTATTACATTTTGAGTTATTATATTTCGAGTCTTATTATCTTCTGGTTTCTTTTCTTTTCTGTTTTCCTTTTGTATCAGCATTTATTTTATTAATTATATTCTATTGCTTTCTACCACGTGTTCCTTTTCTTTTTGCGTACCCTCCCTTATTGCTATAGATGTTCTTGCGTTGACCCTGGGTTAATATAACTCAGAATACATCACAAGCAACAGAAAACGATGTACCATTTTTTTTAAATGTGTAACGTGCTGTATCTTGAAATCAAATGAATATATAAAAAAAAATCATTTGGATGAAAAATCGACCCCTTTGAAACCATACAACTTTTGCCTAAAACTTTTTCCCGCATCTTCAATAGTAACGGAATTAATGGAGGTGCGCATTTTCGTTGAGACAGCCTGTATATTGAAAAGATCACTAAAATTTCGAGGGACTAAAACGTGAATATAATACCTATTTTTCGTTCATCGTATAACGCTATACGCGGAGCAACGGCGTAGTGACGTATGCGCAAGTCGCCTGAAAGCTGGAATAATATTTGATTGCTATGCTGAATCGAAAGATTATTCCCATAGTATTCTCTCCGTTTATTTTCCTTCTTGAAATATCAAATAATTTTTCCCCATTTTACTTTCAGGATGATCGGGGGGAATAATCGTGCTTGGTTAAATGAGGGTAATGAATTTCATTTAATTGAATCAACGGCGAATCTTGTGAAATACTTCATTTCAAATTCTACTACATTGCCCAGCTTCTCCAGGTAAGATATACATCTTTTTTTTATTACTAATTTAAGGCTACTAAAGAGAGTTTCTAATCACAAAAATCGTGAATAGCAACAATCCTAATGAAAATGTTTACCGGTGTAAAATTTATATAAAAATTGGGGGGTTGGATGTATCATTCAGTTTTGGTTCAATCATTGCCAAAGTAGTAGCAAAGTGATTGTTAATAATTCGGAATGTGTCCTCAAGTTATTGAAGAGAACAACTCATTGGAAAAAACGTGCGAACGAGTGTTACATGAACGTTCTGTTCGATACATTTGTTTTAGACGATGTTATTCAGTCTTTTTATAAATAATTTGTTATTACGTCCGAGTACATTGTCTAATAAAGTCACGTTCTTTGTATTATTTCGAATAGACGCAATATTCTATTTACTCATCGAATACTGTTTCAATACAACTTAACCTAAAGGAAAAAAAATACTTGTCTACACTGTACAATTTTTGTGACTGGAAACTACATCACTATTCGTATGCACAACGCGCACGGAAGCGGCCTGCATCTAGTTGACCGCACCTTTTTTATCTTTTGTCACGTGGTCAGTACTGCTGTTAGGCCTTAGCTAGTGAAACTGCTAGGGCGTAGATATATCTAATTGTGGGCTACCATTTAACGCTAGGCGTATCTGTTTTCTGTGAAAGTGGGGGATGTAATGCCGACGAATGAGACCGACGTGTAGGTATACAGACTGATTATTTATTACAGGTAAGATAAATTGACTTACAATGACTGATACGGTTGAAAGAGTTGATATTGCACTTCACTGAGTTCTTTCTGTGGCAAACCGTCGTCTGTTGTCACACTCGCGATAGATTTAATAGAACGTTCACTGCGATGACTTCCCTGGCCCTCGGGTGGGAAGGCTTAGTCACAAGGATCCGAAGACACGTAAAATACTACCAGCGGACGAACAAGCAAGACTCGATGATTTAGACGGTGACTCCTAGAGGAGTTCCGTCTGTTGCCAGGATTCACGAAAGACTGCCTATTGGTTCCGAATACTGTAGGTGCATTAGCTTCAATTTTGGGGATAATGCACCGCAATATTGATGATCTTGCAGAAAGGGTCTTGCTTCATTCCTCGCGCTGGCATGTAGTATGAGCGCGTGGCCTGCTACTCAGCGTTCCAGGAATTACATGAGTCAATCGAAAAGTTCGATGTGCCGAAAAGAATTTACCGATTGCATTTACTTGAGTAGATCCGCTTTGGGATATAACACTGCTTTGCCGTTTTCGCCGATTATACTTTATACTACAATTTGATGAATTTGTTCATTAATCAAAGATCAAAGGTGGTCAGTATTCGCGTAACTACGTCGTAGGTGTAACAAAATAAAAAAAACTGAAATTTTGTAACTTAACTTTACGAGATAACCCATTATAAAAAAAAAAAACATTTTGATATCGTTTGTTTTTATTCGATAATATCATCAGAGGAAGGACTACTGTTTACTTAGACGGACGAGCGTTTTAATGTGAACAATGTTCATAAATGCAATGAATAAAACTTACAAGGGGAGGGCGCGACGTTCGTCACACGGATTTTAAAGTCTTTTTGGGGTAGGAGAGTACTTGATAGTGATAAACGATAGGTCAATCGGCAGGACCCAACGCGTAGCCGTTTTCGAAAAAAATCGGTTTGAAAAATGCAGCACTATTCATATATCTGGAACGTTGCTAACGTGCCCGACTACCACGCGACCGGCCAGGGTTTTATTCCCGACCACACATACATTTTTTTTATGAATTCATTTTTTTTGCTACCCGACAGCCCATGTTTATCTATCAACAATTTTGTCAATTTACGTACGAAATGAGTGGATTGGAACACTATTATTTTTCATTATCAAACACTGATTTATTACAAAATGTTACAAAGATTCACAGGGCATTTTGGTTTACAATTATTGTTTATTAGTCCCTATCACTGTTGTTTTCTGAACAGCCGTTGCATCTATTCGGATGGTAGTTATAATAAAAGCATGAAAAACATAAATTGTTTTCACACCACGCACATTTTATGGATGCAACGTCGTCGCACTTACAATGTTTTTTCGAAAGCGACAGAGGAAAGCATATTTCGTTTACATTTAAAAATATAACTCTTTCTTTAATCAATTTGGCGGCAAAAATCTATTTATGGTCGAGAATTGAACCCTGGCCGCTGGGGTGGTAGTTGCCAGCGCTGCCACCGAGCTACGCCGTCTTCTCAAAAACATTAGCAACGGTGCAGGTATATGAAGTGCTGCGTTTTTCAAACCGGTTTTTTTTCGAAAGCGGCTACGCGTTGGGGCCTGCCGATTGGCCTATCGTTTGTCACTACCAAATACTCTCCTACCCCAAAAGGACTTCAAAATCCGTGTGACCAACGTCGCGCCCTTCCCTTGTTAGATGAATAATTACTTGGTAGCTAAATGCGGTTAAGACTGAATGACTGACGAGGGATAATGTGGACGTGGTCAACTGGTTGAACACTGCTGTTTTCATTGGTAATTTTCATCTTAACATTATATTTTCAAAATAAAATTGCATTTAAAAAAAACGGATAAATACTAATGACATATTAAAGGCGTTAAAAATTGAAGATTTAAGTTCTTAAAATTTCCATAACAAACGTGCAGGGTCCTTTCACTTTTATACAATCTTTTTTGGTGTAAGTTGTATCATTTATACCTCACTTATATAATTCTAAAATATCACCTTGGACATCGAAATCTCAATACTTGTTAATTATCAAAAGATACTTTCTTATTGAAGCTAATATCTTACAAATAAAAAAAAAGCGGAGATTTCGAGTTATTACTGGAATATGTTACTTTATATTTTAGAAAATCAATATAAACTTTATTGTATTTCCTATAATTGTTCTGAATTGTGTTTTTTAGGCTGAAGATTGTAACAAAATGCCAAGACGTTATTTCCAAATGCTTGACCATGCTCTTCAGTAAACCTAATGGACGTGATTTAATTGATCAACTACGACCTGTGCAGAGTATGTTAAGTCGATTATAAGTTTCGAAATAGTAAATCGTCGATTGACGAATATTATAAAACAATAGTAATAACGAGTAGTATACAATTAATATCATTGATGTAATTATTGTTTTCTTATATACTATTTCTTTCTAATAAACGTGCTTGATTTCATTTGTAATATACATTGTTACATGTCGAGTACCAAGGTCCTGCATCCAACATGCCGGTACGGACGACGTTGGTCGTTTCTTGCCTTACGGAAAAAACCCCAAGAAAAAACTGTAACTTCCGAAATTCTTTAGTCGCCACCGATAACCGACCAATGAGAGCCGTCCGCGCTTCCGCCTAGTGCCAAGGTTACCACTGTTTGTTAGAATTCAATCAATTCTTTTTGGAAATCCATGTTTGTTCTAATTAGTTTTTCTATTCTCATAATTCGGGACAAATAACTTTTTCCTATTCGCGTGAACCCTCATTAGTTAACGATGTAACCCTTTGCTCTCCGCTTATATTTCATAAACTATGGGGTCCGCTTTTCATAATACTCAGTATATAAGAGTTTAACCGACCTCGAAATGGTTAAAAAATACAAATATTCTGTTTCCAAGAAATTCATGTTAGTTAAAGGTCCGTCATATTGGGCCCGTCATCTTTAATTTCGAATTTTTAACTACAGAATCGAAATCAGTACTATCGAAAATCTTTATAACACGAGTATCATAGATATTAAATGACATTTGCTTTTTCCAACTATATCACAGTCGGATATATTTCATCCACCATCTTCGATCACAGAATTTTTTAATTTTAAGGTTAGATTCGGATTCAGCTACCTCAAACACCCCTAAAACACTAGCTTTCCCTTGATTCGTTCTTTCAGCAACTCTACGTCCTCCAAATTTTAAGGGGCGTGCGTGGCACCAGCGTCATATTATAAAATGATTGCCCTAGTACATGGAAAAAAAATTTGTCACTGCAACAACAACTTCGACGTTCGTTACTACAACCCCCAGTAAACATACGAACAGCATTTATGTGCAATGAAGATTACTGCTACAATGTCTTAAAATTTATTAATTGATTTTGGTATTAGGTATTACGTAGTATGGTTAAATTTATGCAAATGTAAGAGTGAAATTCATCTTCCTGTTAAAAGACATTGACATATGATGATTGTTATTACAACAGCGGAAGTAGTCATTATTTTTACACGTTCTTTCAAAAAGTTCTGTAAATATTATAGTTATCATTATTTTAATTAAAATATATCAAACATGCAACCAAGATAATAGAATTACTTATAAAAAATTATTCTATGCTTACAAATGGATTGGTGTAACAATTTATATTTGGTCGAGGAAAGTTCTGTTTATTTTTCTATTGACTTGAGACGACTTCAACAGACAAAATTTTCCTGCAGACCTAATATTATGTTTGACGTCGTTACTAAAGGATAGGGAGAAAACCACTTTAAATAACTCCTTGAACCTTAAAAAATTTAATTAAAAGCTTAACCCATTCACTGTCAGGTTGAAAAGAACATTTCGTGGTAAAAATGTGTTGGAAAAAAAAGTTTTCAAACCTGTATAAAGATTTCACTATAAAGGTTTTTGGGAATCTTAAATCTGAATTTGATATCAGATTTTCAAAATTCAAAATGGCGTATCTAATATGGCGAATCAAATGTTACGTCCGCACCATAATGAAGACTAAGTCACCTAGTCTGGTGGCTTTAACTAACCGTAATATACTATAACTTTGCCCTGTTTTGAGTCAATGCTTGCGCACTTTACTCGGGATTAAGGTATGCCTCTAATTACCGTGGGAAGAATGAATAAGATTGGATATAGGATAAAATTGATTCTATATATTGCGACGGTAACTTCTCGTCAACAAAACGTAACTCAACAAAATCGGAATTCGGAAGCGTAGGTAGTCTGGGCAAAATCGAAATGTTGGACGCCAGGTATCCACAAAGGAATACCATGAGCTCTAAGCTCGTTATCGATATTCTAAGAGTCGCGAAAGATAATCACTTCAGGGTAACTGATTGCCACCAGGCAAACTAAACCTAAAATTGCCAGCAGGCGAACTAAAGCTAAGGGCTCCACGACCAAACGTACCAGATAGAGGGGCCACACGGCCAAGCTAAACGGATAGAGGCACCATGGCCAAGAAAAGACACAAAACGTAACTAAACCTAAAGGCTACCCGGAATTCGAAAGAATTGTACTAAATCAAACCACTCTACGTCCCACGGTACGCCGCTGCAGAGGCTAGCTCGTTGAAAGCATCGCAGCGTTCAAGAAGTAAGGAGGGAGGGAATTAAGCCAAGGACTTAGGGGGAAAGCGATAAGAAACACTATAATAAAATAATTCAAAGTAATTAGTTAACGCAGCGGTGCTGTATTAAGCAAGCAAAAATCCAGAGAATCGATCAGCTCAACGAAAAAATGTACAAAAGCAATAATTCAAGCATTAGTGAAGGTGAGAGCGGAAACCAAGCATATGTTTACCAAAGTCTTAAAATTAATTCACAATAATCGGTATCCAAAATAAAGAAGCTATAGAATGCAAACGAAGTTATAATAGCCTAATTTAACATCGATATCTATAGACGGGTCCGATTTATCGGAAAATCGCAACAACGCAATACGTTAGACGTTAGCGTCCACGCGATAAAACGCGGGCTCGATACTTCTTAAGAACAATATTAACGGCAGATAATACGTTCGGAATAATCTGATTAATCGAAATAAATTAACAAAATGGAAATAAACTAATAAAGTCGTTTTGGATATAAACTAACAAAATTGAAATACTGTTGTGCCGTAACGTCTCGCAGACGAAGGAGTCCGGTCGAGAGATTAGAGCTAAGATATTTTTGAGATCGTTGCCGGTAATAACAAATAATGTAATAGTAATGTAACGGTAATTTATTTATTTATTTATTCCAGAGTTACATATAAACATTTGCAGTTCGATACAGAGTAGATATTATTTTACACAATAACACACTATACCGTCGCAAATCCTGCAGAGGAAATCGAAATTCCCTGTTCGCAGGTCCGGTTTAACAGAAACTACAGAGTAGATATTATTTTACACAATAACACACTATACCGTCGCAAATCCTGCAGAGGAAATCGAAATTCCCTGTTCGCAGGTCCGGTTTAACAAAAACAAAATATAACAAAACGCTGGTTAGTTATGCTGTGATTTTCACAGCAATCACCTCCAGCCATACTCATCATTCCGTACAATTCATTCATTCTGAAGGTAGCATGTCTCCGAGTCGGACTTCCATACTCAGATCTTGCTCTCCTTCACACATTCATACACTCATATAAAAAAACTTTGGTTAGGTTACGAAAGTCTTTATTTACTCTCTTCGTTCCAACTCTAATTAACCTCATTTGTGTGTTGTGATTAAAATAGTGATATATAATCTTCTTTAACTTTACCCGTCCCTGATAGAAATCATTCTACTCCCCGACCAGGACCAGCTAGCAGCAGACCACTAAATGTCGAATAACGGCATTTCATGGTCCGCTACCTGTCAGTCCCGGCCAGGAAACAGAATAACCTCTACCAGGGGTATTTTTGTCTGTTTAAGCTAAATAAACTAAAAATAAGTTAGAGATTCTATATTTTTGTCTAGTTACTATTAACGTGACGCTGTTACACGTTATTGCACGCTAAATAAGATTACATTGCACAAGTTATAAGATTCTATATTTTTGTACATTATTATATTTTAGTCTTATCTACATAATCTTTCTTATGATCTATTCTTTGTGTTGAAGCACTTCGGTTTAACAATTTCTGACTAACATAGCTCTTGCCGTAGTGAGTCTTTCTGTTGACGCATTTTTACTTCTTGCATATGCTATTCTTGCGTAGGAGTTGAGCCTAGCCGGGCACGTTAGTCCGACGGCACAAGTAACTCTGTAATGTGGAAACATCTTCTTGTGCTGGATAGCTGAGTCACATTTACATGTTGAAGTAAAAACAATTTCATCAATAACTACTATATCATTATAAGGTGACTGCTTTTTAAGTGAATACATTGAGTTTGTGAATATTTGTTTACCTCTTATTCCTCTATCAAAATAAAAAATCGCTTTGTTCGAACCTAGGTAGTTGATGTCTCCGTATGTCATCCTATGACAAGCCGAATTGTTAATATGTTGTCCAGGTGCAGCCATTGCCTCCTTTATTCTTGTCTTTTTGTTATTTTCTTCCGCCATTTCATCAATCTTGTCGAAAACCGTTTCTATAGGTTTATATCTTTCTAAATTCGGATCTATTGTAACTTCTAAATCATTAGTTGTTCCTTTAATAAATTTTATATATTTGATATTTGCTTTCCCATTTCCTGTTTTTTGCATCCATGTGTTTAATATTTCATTCGTTACATTGTCTAGACTTTTAATGATTTTAGAGTATGAGTTTATCATTTTATTGTAGTTATATTTGGAGATACGACGATGTTGTCGATTATTGTATAATTTACATTTGCCCTTAGCACAAATGTATGTTCTAATGTCCAATGTTATACTATTATTCAATGCTGAGTCTTCTCTTGATTCGTACTTACTATTACTGATTTCTTTTTCCATGAGTGGTTATATTTTTCTCTTTCAGAAATCCTGTAGTTTAGAGTATATTACACCTTGGTGAGTAGCTAAGTCTTGGTTACAAATTGATTTAAGCCACAAGTTAATAAGCTGGCAATCTATTTTCATTGTTGTTTTTGTTTTATTCATTGATTCTAAGCCAATCTTCTATTTTTTTTATATTTGTTCTTTTTTGTATGTCTAGGACTTTGAGTTCATTTGGTAATTTATTGAATATACTAATTGCTTTATTATAGCTAATTTTATTACTAACAGTTTTATTATACTTTGGTGTAGTAATTTTATTACTAACAGTTTTATTATGCTTTGGTGGTATTATTATTTTATGTCGAGTTTTACTCGCCGCGAGATGATTTTATTTCAGTTCCGTCGTCGTCGTCGTCGTCGTCGTCGTCTTCGCACGTCCATCGCATTTTTTACACGACAGATGGCGCTGACTGTTTTTAACAAAAATTTAGAACAATTAATACTACAATATATTGTATCGCACTAGATCAGTTGAGTGATTGCCTTAAGATATCGAATGAGAACTTCACAA